GAGAGGCATAGAGACAGAAAGCGAGAAATCACCCCCCAGGGGGGATGGTCACGCCGCAATCCCTTCTCCTCTTGGGATCTTGAGCACACACGCACACGCGCCCGATGTGAGTCTTAAGCCACCAGGTCCGGGACGCGAACTGCGGTCGACTACGTGGGAGTCCAGCGACATGGCCTTTATGCTAACTGCTGGTTCCCTGGAATCGCTTCTTAATAGCAAAGAAGAAATAGTTTACTGTTGGAAGAATATTCAACTTATTAGTGTGCAGGATTTGCCAATAGACTCAAGGCAAATATGAAAAATATCCTATAACATAGAACTATATAGCTCAATATTTGGTACAATATAAAACTACTACTTGGGGATAGTAGGTGGCATGGTGGTTGGGGTGCTGGACTCCCACATGGCTGACCATGGTTCAAGTCCCAGACTTGGCAACTTTCCCTTTCTCTCTCTGGTCAAATTAAAATAATAAAATAATAACAATAACAAATGGAAGTAAATAAATAGTTCTTTTAAAAATGTTAAAAAAAAAATAAAACTATACTACCTGGGACCAACAGGTGGTGTAGTAAAGGTGCTAGACTCCCATATGGTCAAATGTGGTTTGAGTCCTGAACTTGGCAGCTTGCTTTCTCACTCCCCACCACACTCTGTCTCTGGTAAGTGCATGCACCCCCCACAGCAAATTAATACTACTACTACTACTAATAATAATAAGCAAAATTAAATAAATTAAAAAACCCATACTACTGTGGCGAGCACTGCATACGGAAGCCATCTCGAGCTATCCGCCATCTTGAAACCATTAGGCTTCACTTCCTCCCTGAGCAAATCGTTTCTCAGAAATCATGTGACCAACCGTTCTCCCAGGAAGTGATTGGGTTTCTAGGCAACGAGAGAGATCCACCCACAGCAATGATTGGTTCCTGCTGTTCTATCTCATTTGCATTTCGGGCCACCAATTGGTTCCCACCAGCTGTATATAACTCGCCATTTCTCTTCAATAAACGGAAGTAGATGGAAGACGACGACTTGATCAGCACCTGGTAGTGTGTGTGTGTGTGTGTTTGTCCCATCTCTCACTCCCTCCCCCAAGGAACCTGTTCTACTGTCCCGCAGGCCGGGACATACTACTAGTAATTTTCTCATGACATATTAATTCATTAACTCTATAGTATTAACTCTATAGTATTAAACTAAGTAAAGCATTTCCTAAATTTCTTTACTTAGTTTAATTTCTTGCATAGTGCTGATTAGATCAGTTCGGTAGGTCATAAGGGCCCAAGATTTTCCAAGCAAGAAAATGTTAGCACTGGAGCTAAACTTTTGGAAAATTTTCCTGGCAATGGTATGTGGGTATTGTCAGGGTGGAGAATAAACATGCTCTAAAATGAGACCATCTAAAGGCGACTTTCATACATTTCTTATAGATAGACAAAATCTTGGCTAATATCCACAGCAAAAGAATTATATGTACCTTATACTAAAGTTATTTATTTATTTTTTGGAGTGATTTTTGCTATAGGGTGCGTACACTTGCTGGAGAAACAGAGAGAAAGAAAGTGAGAAATCATCCCCTGGGTGTATGGCCATGTGACAATCCCGTCTCTTCCATTTTCCTCTCAGGATTTTAGTCACGCACACATACACGCCCAGCATGAGTTCTAAGCTGCTGGGTACAAGACTTGAACCATGGTCTACTACGTGGGAGTCCAGTGACGTAACCATCACACCATCTACCAGTCCCTAAATGGAATCTTTTCTTTTGTTAGAATTTCAGTCAATAAAAGGACATCTGTATTTCACAGGAATGTTTTAACTTTATTTTTCTTTGCACTTCAAACTACACATAGAGAAACAATTTAGCAGATATTTTGTGAAAGAAACTCAAAGTAAGGGACCAGCAGATTACGTAAAGTTTACATCAGTGGACTCCCACGTATTTGACTGCAGTGTGAGTCCTGGGCCCAGTGGCTTCAAACTCACGCCAGGTGTGTGTACGTGTGTGCCCATAATCCCATGAGGAGAAAGGAGGAGGAGGGATTATGGCATGGCCATCCCCCTGGAGTAATTTCTTGCTTTCTATCTTTCTCTGTCTCTCTGGCTAGCACACACGCCCTATAGCAAAAATTTGTCTAGAAAAAAAAATTTCCAACTAAGTCAAAGGGTTAACAGACACAATTTTGCGGTGTTTTTTCCTTTTTTAGCTAGGCAACTCATCTATGTCAGGGGTCATACTGACTTATGAACACACATACATTCCTCCACCCTTAATACTGATAAATCTCCTCAGACATCACAAATTTGAGAAGTGGTAACTCAAATCTATCTTCAAGATTTTATGAAATCACACAAAAATAACATACATACATATTTAAATGTAACGCCTTGGTAAAAACTTTGACAACTTTCCCTGATCTAGGTCAGAGTGTGTTGATCAAGAAAGGAATGAGAGGGACCAGCAGTTAGCATAATGGCTATGTCGCTGGACTCCCATGTAGTTGACCGCGGTTCGTGTCCTGGACCCAGTGGTTTAAAACTCACGCTGGGTGGGTGTGCATGCGTACCCAAGATCCCAAGAGGAGAATGGAGGAGAAGGGATTGCGACATGGCCATCTCCCCTGGGGGGTGATTTCTTGCTTTCTGTCTCTCTGTCTGTGTGGCGAGCGCACACGCCCTATAGCAAACAAACAAACAAACAAAAACTCTCCAAAAAAAGAGAAAGGAATGAGAAAGGGCCAGCAGGTGGCATGGTAGTTGAGGTGCTGAACTTCCACATGGACAACCAAGGTTCAAGTCCTGGACCTGATGGCTTCAAAATCATTCTAGGCATGTCTGTGTGCATGACCAAGATCCCAAGGCCAAGATCCTGAGAGGAGGATGAAAGGGAAGGGATTGTGGTGTGGCCACTCCCCCGGGGGATGGTTTCTCACTTTCCCTCTGTCTCTCTCTCCCTCTGGTGAGTGCATGTGCCCTATGGGAAAAGCCTTAAAAAAAAAAAATTAAGTACACAGGGAAGTCATTTAATAGATTCAAAGGAGGAAATAAAATTAAAAAAA